GCTGCTGTGAAGAATCTTTCTCAGAGTCTTGGAGTTTTGATGCCAGAAGAGATTTTATTTTCAGAGACAATAAAACCTGAGAGAACTCTGCAGAGCAATCTCTCGAATCTTTTTGTGTATCCTCTTATATACAGTTTTTTCTCTAGGCGTGTTCAATACATTTCATTAATATTTATTTTTGGGATCACGATGCAGTCACGAGGCCTTAATTTTATGTTCTGTGAAAATAAGGGCCCCATTATGTGCCATCATGTGCTTATCATATGTCTGCACATTCCATTCTCATACAGATTTCTATATATGCAGGCAAATACACATGATTATACTAGTAGAATAACTTAATACATAAATGGCTTTCATAAATCTTCTCATTGATTATACTTGAATCATTTATATTTTGATTAATTAAACTCTTCTTCACAGGCTGGAGCCAAAACCCTTTTAAAAAGTGGCTTTTCATGTAATTTCAATGATGGCTGTAGGAGTATTTTTTTTTTCTTTTGAAAGATGAGTAAAAAGATTCCAATGTAAACATCTCTCTGACGTTATTTATTGAGGTTCATTGTTCTTGCTGTTCTTAACTGATGTTGTAATTACTAGGGCTGCAAAGGGGTGGAACATTTCGGGTAAATTTTCGGAAGCTTTCCAAAAATTCCTGAAAGATTCCAAAAAAATCCTTGAAAGTTTCCAAAGTTTCTGGAATGTTTCTGAAATTTACTGGAAATTACAACCCTAGTTGTAATACATTAAATGAAACACACCACACTCAACTATAAACTTTAAATATTATGTTGAAGCATCAAGTTAGGGTTCCGGTGTTATTCTGAATTCTGTTTTGATAAAGAAACAAACTCATGTAAAACGTACTTCAATTATGTTTGTTTTATTTACAAGTGTTAAAGCAGCACTATGTAACTTTTTCTGTGTTCAAAATCTGCAAAATGTATATAATGAGCGAGTACATCATGAATTCATCTTCCAAACCGCGTTTTTGTCTTATTCCGAATCACTACGGTACACTTATAATAAGAACTTATATTTGGACTATTGTAGCCTGGTCGGGTCGTCACCGCTGCGGAGTAACACATACCTGCATGAATCGCCATAGACATAAACTTAGAGAAGTAGCTCCGGTTGGAATGTTCTTCCGCGGGATGTGTGCAGTTCCGTTTATTAACCGCTAGAGCGCCAAAAGTTACATAGTGCTGCTTTAAATATCAGGCTTGGCTGTTTATACACTTCCAGATGGTTCTGAGTCTGCTGAAAGCTCGTCTTGCTTTGGCTCTGTTTTGAGTGCCAGTGACGCTACCAAGATACATGAAACCATTCACATCCTCGACTGATTCTCTCAGTGGTAACTAGGTCAAAGACAGGAGCATTGATACACCTGACCTGCGTCTTCTGCTTGTTTATGTGAAAGCATCTCTGCTCCGTCTCTGTTTTTTTTTTTCTCCCTGAACGTGGGTTCCTGGTTGTAGCAGTTGACACTGACAGCCTTTATGAGTGAGTCATTGAACATTCACTCTAACCGAAGCGTTCAAGTACATTCAGGAACGAAATGAGTAGGCCTAACTCTGTGAGTGATTCATCAAATCATTCACTCCAGATGCTTCGTTCATTCAGGAATAGAAAAATTGAGTTATCACTATCACTTGCAGTCATACTGTTGGTCTGAATATCAACAAACCTGTTGCTTAGGCTTTTCCATACAATAATGCTAATGATGAAATTAAATGTCAAGTTTGAAAAAAGAACAAAAGTCCTGATAAAACTGGTAGACTGCAACTGGCAAAGCAGTTTTCCATGATTTAACCAGACTTATTTCTGTTTTAGTATGGCAGCAGAATGCTGCTGCACTTTCAAAAAGCGCAATTGCTAACAATGTAATATTGATAATTAGTATCTTCGTTATAAGAACATCTGCTGTGTTATGTAGCTACATGGTGTTATTAGTTATTGAAAGAGTGCATAATCTGCATATTCATGTTCATCTGTTTATGAGCTGTACGAAGTGGATAACACAGCAATTAATATGCTTTTTGAAACAAAAAAATGTAAATTGATTGAATCTGATGAAAAGCTACATGTGCTGTTTCAGTACTGTGTTTTCCGCATAAACACATTGCATTACACCAAATACACAAAATAATGTTCTTTTTAGCAACGTCATATGACCCCTTTAAGATTGTGAGGAATTGCAAAGATGCACTGCAGTGCAAAAGAGGTAAGTCATACTGTATCAACTCTGCTATTTTTAATTTTTGACATTTTATTGAATGAAGATTTAAAAAATGACAATAGATTTTTGAAATACACAAAATATTGAATAAAGAATTTGAGCAAATGATTAACCAGACAGGCATGTAATTTGAAAGTTTACATTCATCTATATAAAATGGGACAATTTAAGAATACATTTGTTCTGTAATTTAACCATGTAACGTATACTGCAATGAATTCTAAACTGTAGCGAGCTGTCATTCTTGTTTTGTAAAAATATAAAAGAAAACACTATAATGCTACCTGTTGTTCGTGGAGTTTTTAAGGGTAATTGTTTTATGAGTGAGAAAGTGTGCTTGTTGGTTTGCTGGTGTTTTGGAAGAATGTGTTGATTTAAAGCATATATGGAGTGTTTTGATAGTTTTAGTGCATTTTGAATGTGAAATTAACTGCTGTGAGAAATGGGTCCTAGCGGTTGTATGAAAGCTTGATGCCTTTTCTCCTGTGACTTGGTTTATTGCATAAAGTGGACTGCAGGATTACAATCGCGGTGTTTTCTCTAATTTATGTAACATGATCAAATGTCACATTTAACAATCTCACCTTCCCTATTTAATTATCAGGAAGTACTTTGAGAAGCAAAATATAAAGTCTTAGACAAGACAACAAAAAAAATCTTTATTTACTAGTTCTTGTATGTGGACTACAGTTTCCCATGTGAGACGGGGGAGGCAAAGATGGGTGGAGTGCTGGAGGTGAATGAAAAGAACTTAGGTCAAAGATGATAACGGATGTTGCAGACAGTCTGGGAGGAGCCGTCTGCTTAAAAAGAAAAAGGAGTACACAGATGATGTTGTGTATTTAGCGGTGTTCAAATATAGCGGTTTATTACACTGTATGAGAGATATTCTCACAATAGCACAATCATCATGATTGAGTGAGTTTATAGATTTTTTTTTCTACTTTAAGCTTTCAACGGCTTTTGGGGTTGTATTTAATTGTTTTTCCCCCCCATGATTTTTACATTTCCAGACACTATAATGATATCTGTCTGTCTGTCCAGACACTCTATTGAAAAGCCAGAAGAATTCGCAGCAAGGTATGTCACTTCTTTTCCATCTATATTATATTATATTATGTCATGTCATGTCATGTTATGTCATGTTATATTATTTTACTGTTCATTCCAAGGTATTTGCAACCTGGGTGGTTCTTGCTACAAGTAAGTTTGATTATGAAAGATGATGTTGGTAAAAGCAATTAAAACTGATATTTGTATAAAAGAAAAAAATGCAAAAATCTCTCTCTGTCTATCATTATTTACAGGTACACTCATCTCACTCTCCACTCAGAGTAGGTGTGATTTTTATGATACTTTTGGCACTCTAGCGATTTAAGAATAAACTGCAAGTTACTTGTGGAGGAAAATTTTTGGTTGGTTAATTACTTGTGTTGTGTTTCAGCTATTCTGCACAATCTGATGGCAAAAGGCGCACAGCTGTGAAGTTTGTTTCTGGGTAATTGTCCATTTAAAAAAAAAATAAAAAATTATTTGTCAGAATCCTGTATTTTTTCTTGCAAGTTTATCTCACAAATTAGACTTTTCATCTCAGAAATGTGAGTTTATATCTCGCAATTTTGAGCTGTGAGATTAAAAAAGTAGCAATTCCCTTTTTTATTTTTATTCTGTGGCAAAAACAAGCTTCCATATGTGTTGCTGTGCTAACTTGATGCATGCTGTCTTACGGTTACTGACGCAATCCCCTTTTGTTTGCAAATTCTTTTGACTTTATGATTCAGTTTTTGTGGATTCAGGCCAGACATTGGACCAAGCCATTGTTCGGCCAGTCACTGGTAAGTCTCCAGTCAAGTTACAAGTCCTCAACTTGAAGCTTCAAGTCTTAATCAAGTCGTTATGGTCTTTGCCCAAAGTAGTGTCACATTATACCATGGTGTATACGGTGTGTATGGTATATAACATAGGTTATATGTCATAGAGTTATTTGGGGTTGGGGTAAATTAAACACGATCTGTGGTGACGTCGAGTCCAAGTCAAGTCATGTGATTCGACAACACCGCTTCAAGCTACTTGGATTAGGCCTACATATAGTAGTAGCAGCTTCTTCATTTTATTTATGCATATGATATAAACACGCCCACACAAATTATAAAAGTATGCAGTTTCCCGGGAAATCCATCCCAACAGCTCTAAATAACATTTGGGGTAAGGCTAAAACACGGTTTTGGAAGATGGTTTTATGATGTATACGCTTCTTACATAAATTTTGGTAAATTTGACAAATTACTTGTGTATATGACTTTAAATCTTGCCCTATCAGCATATTGATATCCTGAAAGACTATCTGGTCTCTCTTTATTCTATTTTTTTTTAAATAAAAAAAAAAAGTCTTCTGTTTGTATTTATCAGGTTGTATAACCAAGTGGTTTGACCGTGATGACCCAAATGGAAATGGAGACTACGAGCTGTTGGCTGACCTTCTCAATACATACCCTGGAGAAATATGTCCAAATCCAATCGCAATAGAGGCTCAGACCGTCTCCAGCCAACCAGCATCTCAAACAGCAAACATCTTCCAAGTGTGAGGTTTTTTACAGAACATGTGCTTAAGGTAATATTTTGATCCAAGAAACAAAGAATCCTAAAGTTTTACAGTTTATGTAAAGGTGATTTTGTGTGTTTTTCTGAAGATATAATCCGACAAGTGGATTTGCTTGTGTAAAAGCAAACCAAGTAAGAAGGAAATGTGCTGATTATAAGGTGCGCTTCACCTGCCCAGAGGAATGGTGTTCAAGTGAGTGACACTTACAAACAAAACTGCAGCTGATTATGAAAATCAGACTGAAATACTTTCACTTGAGTTACTAAAGGGACCAGTATCATTAAGTTGTCTAAACTTCTTGTTCACCTTCTATTAAATAAAGTTGTGGGTGGGTGCATATAAAAAGTATATTAAAAAGTGTTTTTTCTACAGTGGAAATCAATGTGATCTTTTGTTGGTCTTCAATGAGTTTATGATGTTTACTCAGCTGGTCGTCTTTTGTTAGGATGTAGGACATGCTGGTTTGACCGAGATGACCCCAGTTGACTAGGAGACATTGAGATGCTGTCATTAATCCTGATAAGATATCCACTACAAATCTGCCCCAAGCCCATCGCCATTGAGGTCGCAACTGTTGGTGGAACCACTGTACTGCCGACTGAAAAAATGTTCTAGTGTACAACAAACAGTGACATATTCTCTGCTAATATTCTAAATAAAGTCTACTGTTTATATCATT